CTAAAAAATAAAATAAAAAATATCAAAAGCTGTATTTAACAAGGTATGTCAGTAACGGGACTACTAACTGACAAAGACATAAATAAAAGAACACAGAAGTCAGCACCAGGAACATGTGGTTTGTACCAGTCTACAGCAGCTCTATGTGGAAGAGAATGGTATGTCATTGCTTCTGTCTACATTAAGCATATTGACAACCTTAAGTACTCAAAACACGGAAAACCAAAGGTGTGGAAAGTGCTGGCAATGAATAAATATTCATTTTGTCTTCATACTGTAATCTTACAAAAGAGCAAGAAAAACGGAGAAGAAATACAGCACTTCATCAGTTTTTTCCCCATTCTGTGATGAAGCACTCCTTAATACATCTAGTCATCCGCTGTACTTCTATTAACTCTTTCAGATTTGGAGTTGTGCGCATCTTTTTCATCCATGCTGACAATTGCACAAAATCCAAAGAGTCAAATCACTTATATAAATAGATATAAATGAAAATGATGCATGTAGAAAGAGCAATGCGAATATGCAGTCTGCAAGGAATGAATAATACAAACTGGGCTCCATCAGTTATGCACCTATATCAAGTTTAATATGCCAGAACGATTATATTTAAATGTAAAGAAGAGTCATTACTTGTCATGCACATTTCCTAAGATTACAACATTTCATCTACGACCCTGAAGCACTCTGAGCAAACTGCTGCATTCTGCAACTCTCTGCAAGAATCTGTGCCATAAAGAACCATATGTGAAATATGATACTGTCCAAGGGCATTTTCATTGCTCACTGACACCCTAGCGACCAATAGTTAGTGGCACCTTAGTGACCAATACTTAAACAGATTTAATAGCCATGTCCTCAAGCTTCTGCCACGGGCTTCCTAAGCATACAGCTAAGCGACAGGAGCTGCTCTCACTGCTTTGCCACAGACAGAGTTAAAATCGTGGGCTACATCTGTCATACTATTATACACCGGGCTCTTCAATGTGAAGTACTGTATCATTCCTATTGGAAGAGCAGTATTCAACACGCAACAGGATGCAATGCGCCCAAGCATCTATTCATGCACAAATGCCTCTGCTGATCCGAAGGAGAAAAAAAAAACATAAGCCAGGAACAAAAGGATCTTTGCAGGCCTAAAACTAGCGGTTCAGCTAATTTGGTCAATTTCTCACATAACAAATGTAATTAAATATAAGCTGCTAAAGAACCAATGTAGAAGACAAAAACAGGCTTACGAGAGAATTCAGAAACGATTTCTATCAGTTGAGAAGCCTGCACAATTTATTCCGCTACAGTCTTGTCTTGTTTGTTTGTTGGTGCCCTTCACATAGTAGGGATCATCAAATCTTACTGCTGAGAGCAAGGACACCTGGAGTGAGAGACAGACCTGCAGTGAATGCAGGTGCACACACAGCTGCTTCCCACAGAAAGCCTGTTCTCAGTCTAGCAACGTGACCAGGATTTCCTCGCCACTGCTGAAACCCTTCCATTTCTCTCTGGCACTGTACCCATAGTAGCCCTGGGCAGAGCTGTTAACTCTTTGTTTTTAAGCAACTATGTTTTTATTTAGAAAATAGCATTAACGCATGTACAGCACATATGCAAAATATTAAACCTTCTTGAAAAGCTAAATAAAATGGGTAACAGAATGGCCAACAGGCAGCCTCGGTCCTGGAAGGCAGACTATTAAAATGGTCAAGTAAGAGCTGGTTTCCTACAGTTTAGGAACATTCCTCCAGTGAGCCCAATTAATTGTAATGATGAGACAGGTGCAGCAGCCTGTTAATTAAAACAGAAAATTATTTTTTGACTATATCAAATAGACATTAAGCAGGTACAACACATCCCATTAAAGAGAGGGAAACATCAGAACAGAACCTTTTTAATTAAGTGCAGGATGTTTTCATTTTTTAGATTTTTCAGTTTTGCTTTCACTGTTAAGTGGAATTTACAATGTGCAAAATCATAAGAAGAAAGTTTTTATACAAGAATTTGACTGAAACAAATTGTGCTCCATGCTGCATACCAAACAGATTCTAATTCAGGGATTATTTGAGAAATCTGTGTTAAGAAACTCAAATGCAGCATTTCTTCAATAAAAAACAATCAATTAAAAGGAAAGACTTACAGTATATACAATGATAACATATTGAATCTCTTCAAAAACTAAAGTATAAAGATAGGATCTACTTGATGTTAATGTGATAAGCGATTCAGAACATATAAAATATAATATATATAGTTTATATATATTATTTGACCTCTGCGATTCAGGCCGAGGAGTAGTCTGTGAATCAGTGGATTGACATGCATTCCAGTGGTTCTGTAACATAAGGATGAATCAACTGTTCAGTTACTGTGGTGTTTTGTGGGGGAAACTATAATAAGTCTTATTATGTATTGTGGACATGTTTACACTGTAATCTTTCCAATGGACTTCTGAGAGTAAGCAATGTTACCTACTGTACATGAGACTGCATGTCTTTTGGTACTGAATGCTTGTCACCTGCTTCAGCTGTATGCATCAGTTACTTGTGGGTATGCCTGAAAAGGTGAACTGAACCCAGGCTCTAATAAACTCTACATTAGATCTCAGAGAGACTTCAGGGGATTCTCTGATCTTCTCCCCAAATATTTTCCAGTTATTCAACTCCTGGAAACAGCACCTTTCCTATGAGTGCTTTCAAAGTGAAAGGGGCATTAAAAGCTTTGAATTCTAAACTTGCACTTTGCTGACCAGTTCTACTGCACTCTTGCGTCTAGATAATCAGACACGCTGTCTTAACCACTGCATTTCATCTTTCGGTGCCTGAACAGTGGAAGCTAAAAACATCTATCACAATCAAAGTCAGAGTGTCTCACTCTTTAAATTACTTCAGAATCCCACTGAGCGGAGACACAGATCAGGCAATATCTACTCATTACCAAGGCAAGACAGCACTGACTCCAGCTCACAGATACTGAATGACATCTCTAAATATTAGATTGAAGCCTTTGTACTCCTATACAGAGATAGCTATATTTTGGAGGAATATGACTATCAAAAATGATACTGAGTTATTTTAATAAGTAATTTTTTAAACATAACTCATAGTTTTATACAGTAAAACAAAACAAAAAAAGAAACAGCCTTTCTTTGTCCTGTAATCAGGACATCTGGCAATGCACAGTGCTTCATTGGAGAGCTTTTAATAAAAAATATCAATGTTAACATCATTAAAGTTGCCCTGACATTACCGAATGATTCTTAGAAGTTTAGTTTCTTTTGGGTTTGGCTTCTTTGCTTCTTGTCCGAGTCTTATGAGCAAACTTCATGAATCACCTTGCAAAGCAATGATCTCAGAACATTACCAGAATAGGCAAAACAATTCTTAATCCATATGTGTAAGAAACAGCCATGTCTATGGACTGCCAGTTAGCAAGGAATTAAAAACTGAAGATTTGACCTTATATTTCACAAGTCTCTGGTTCTAAACTGGGCTGGAACTGCGCTGGTCTTCCATTCATTAAAATTGTCCTGCTGTTTGAATTATAGATTTGCCTCACAATGTGAAGCAGATAGATTGACAATGCACATTTCGGAACACTTGCATGCAATACATTGTATTACATAATAATTCTTGATATCCCTTAAGTATAAAATTAAATTAAGTAATCAATATCAGTATAATATCAAATTAAACAATTTATGACTAAATTAAACACCTATGAAGGTGCTCCAAATCATCTGCATGAAAAAGGACTTCAAGATCAAATTTATACATTCACAACTGTAAAAGCTGCTTATAAGCTGCTTACAAGTCAGACAAATGATTGGTGAAAGGTCAGCCTAAGTAATTAAGTTGACCTTTAAGTAGAATATACTTACTGAAGGTGCAATATTAAGAGTAAATCATCTTAAATAATCTTTCATCTTAAGGGAGTCTTGGGGCTTCTTTTGGTCTCATCAGGTACAGAGGCATAATAGACTTGATACTCTCATACATATGAGCAAAATGCTCCTTACTCCACAAATATATTTCAGCTACAAGTGATATTTAAGTTACAAGTGGGTGGATGGTTATTGGCTCATTAAGTTATGCTCACACACTTCTTGTGTAACTTATACGGAAATGTCAGCACCAACGTCATCCAAAAACATGTTAATACAGCCTAGCCTCTGATCTCTGTCCCCTGCTTTTATTATAGTTCAATTAATATACAAGAATGAACAACCATTTAAAGTAGTTCAATGAAAAGAGATGTAAATACAGATGCAAAATTCTCCCTCAAAACTACCACTTTTAACATGGCGCCAGGCAGGAGAAATTCTAGAGTGCATCTTGTATGCAGTTTTGGCTTTGAATTGTATACTCCTTTACACTATGTACTTCAAATAGCCCTAGGGTTGATGAACCCTATAAATAATATGAATTTAAACTTAACTTTACTGTTACCATGTAGGCCACAACAAAAAATATTGTTCAGTACAATTTTTCACACACAAAGTAAAAACATGTAAAGATTATAACTTTTTACACATGTGTATTACATGTGTAGCCCATAAGGATGACTTTGGACAGGTAAAGATGAAAGCTCTGGCTATAACACTGTACCCCTAACCTAATGCATTACAAAAATGTAAGCAAAATGAATTAAGCTTTAAGGAATATCAACTACTGTGTAAAGAAAAAAAATTCTGAATTCTTGTTGAGAACCAGTGTACAACAGACCTCCTGTTACAAACAGGGTTTATACTTGGTTTCTTTATGTCTCCTGTAATGCAAAACCATAAAGTAGAAACTAAGTGATAAACAACTTGGAGAAGAAAACAATAAATCACTGCTACTGAAACGTCATTCTTCAGTGTTACTAGAAGTTTTCCCGTGTCAGAAAAAAAAAAACTTACCCAATACTGGACTGTTGTACAAAGCTTTGAAAAAGCCCTACATACCTTCAGAAATTTTCTCATTGCAAACACCCTGGATTGCACAGGATTTACGGGGAATTTTCCTCACCTTTTTTGCAGCATTGATGCACTGCATGTACTCCTTGGCCAGGTCAGAGCAATTCAGTGTTTGCTCCTTATTCTCTCGATAGCACCGCAGGATCTCCGACTGCAGGTTACTGCACAGAGGCTCCACCCTCCTCTTCCTGCAAGGGCACAGAACCAGTCACTTAAATTAAGAGGAAAAAAAGGTGGTTTCTCAAGAAAGCTTCTAAATATCCTCCTTAGGGACAACTTTGATAGAGAACTTTCGTTGTTTTCAAAAGCTGGTGTCGTTCTACAAAAAAGAGGAACAGATTTTTAGTTTATCTATCAAAGGTTATTTAACAGTGTCAAACAAAGAAAACACAACGCTTTATGCTCTACATACTAGGAAAATAATTTTAAATAACAGATATGGAGGTGACAAAGCACAAGATGTTTAATACAACTCATGATGCAGAAATACAACGACCATACTGCAAAACACTTGTAATACACTGCAGTGTGATGATACAACATAGCTTTCCGGTAGTCTGTAAGCAGTGGCAGTAACTGTAGAGTCTGCTGTCCAGGTGGAGAGGCAGTGAGAGTGTACAGTGCTGATGATTATATGTAGCTGCTCTCACTGAGCTGGGCAAGTAAGGAGAAAGTGCAGATATAGGAGATCAAAGTGTGAGTGGAAAGCAAGACTAGCTGGCTGACAGGGAATGATAGTAGAGGGCTAGAGGAGCGGGCAAGCAAAAGAGTGAAGAGAGTGGTGAACTGGAACGAGGAATCATGGGAGAGCAGCAAGCAAAGGCTTTCATCAGACATATGTCGTATCAAAGCATTGCTTTTTTATTGAGAAGTGCCTCAGAAGAATGAACCTGAAAGTTTAGATTCATAGGACAAAATCTAAAATAATGTCAAGCAAAAAAAAAAGAAAATCTGGGAACGCCATTTGAAAAATATATTAATTAATATTTTAGGCACACTGTCAGTAGCTCTAGTCATTAGGGGTTAGTAGGGCACAGCCCCACCTGAAGTAAAGGGAGAGAAGAGGAAATAAAATGTACTACATGCTGTCGGTATCTTATTTTATATTTTGTAAATAATGTTCAGAAAAATGTAAATGTCAGTACTGGAAGTATACAAACGTTTACCCTTTAACAACATTAATGCGGGTAAAAAACCAGGAAGATAGTATTGACAGTGGTAGCTAGTACCAAACAATGGCGTTGTGGGTACCTGCCAGATTGCTCCACAAATCTCAGTCCTTTCCCTCTCCTGTACCTTGCCATGGGAGAAATGCACATTACAAGCTCTCTGAGGGGTCCATGTTTCTTGATCTCTATTTATCAATCTGTCACAGTTTTTCTTTTCTATTTTTATCCTAATTTATTGTGCTATGCATTATTTTAACATAGAAATTGCAGTAACAAAACTGGACCTTCTGTTGAAAGTTCGTGGCATCTTTTGTGAGGTAGCAAGTTAACCAGTGTTCGTTCATTAACTTTCTAAAATATTTTTTTTGTTAGGAAGTATCTCTTCCTTGATATTTAACACAAAGTTGGAGGATAAACATTAATAGCCCAAGTCCTCTAATCCTGTGATTATCCAAATAAGAAAAGAAAAACTCTAAATGTTTAATAGCAAGTGATTTATGAAGAAAACTAAGCAACTTTATTGTTTTCCAGATCTTAATTAGGTGGAGAAACTGAGATACTGACAAAATCAGACTACAAAGATTTAAGACTGTGAAAGATTGGCAAAACACTTAGGCAATCTCCATCAAACTAGAATTACTGATAACCGTAAACTTAGGCAATCTCCATCAAACTGGAATTACTGAGAACAGTAAACATCACCCCTCAGATAATGGGCAATTTGTGTTCAAACAATAAACCCACCTAACAGCAAGTGCTATTATATTTCTAATACCATTATTAGATAAAATACAACTTGCATGCTGCCATCTGTTTGCTGTGTGATAAGATACACAAACTACATTTTGTTTCTTTGATTGCACATCCTGTACATTACCTTGGATTTATAAAAATGTCAACTATCAGTACTATTACTGCTATATTAATAATAAAAATGTAAAAAGCAAGCACCACGGCAATATTTTTAAACCAGTGTTAGCAATGCACACATTGATGTATTTACATACAGCACATGGCATATACTGTACAGTATGTCAATCTTTGCCTAAAATGTGTGCAGCCAGGTCTAGTGCAAGTGATCACTCCTATCCTGGAGTCCTTGTACTGGCTTCCTGTCAGGTTTCATATTGACTTCCAAATCCTTATGCTCACCTATAAGGCTCTACATGGCTCGGTACCTCAGTACCTGTCTGAGCGAGTATCATCCTACACCCCACCTCGCAACCTTCGCTGTTCTAAATCTGCTCTCCTATCTGTCCCTCAAGCACACCAACACTCTATGGGTGACAAGGCCTTCTCATGTTATGCCCCAAAGCTCTGGAACTCTGTCCCCCAAGGATATCAGAGAGTCACCTTCTCTAAACACCTTCAAATCTAGAATAAGAACCTTCCTCTTCAGAGGTGCCTTTACTTGGTTCTTGGTTAATTGGATCTGTTATTTACCCTTTTGCTCCTACCGTATTCGGTACCACCATCTACCGTCTCCTCTCATTGAGTATTCTCATTGTGCACACCTTTTCTATTTTTTTTTATTGTTGTTGTCGTTCTGTAAAGTGCTTTGCTTTGGTGCTACATACAATAAAGTTTATTATTATTAAAATACACCTAGCCTTAAAATAACACACTTATCAAGAGAGATACAACATATTTTTCTGGTCCTATTTTTCTTTTCAATATTGCTGAAAATATCAGAAACTAAAGACGGGTATTTACTACTGTATGTAGTGAATGACAGAAAGAAAAATTTCACATCTAAGGAGCAGAATGCTAAACAGTTGGCAATCTGCTTCTTAAGTCTGAGAAATATTAAACTCAGAAATGCTTTTTAACTGATGTTTTTTTAAACCATCTTTATATAATTCCTGGAGATTCAACACTAATGTTTTAATTAAAATGTAATTGTAAAAGTGCTGTGACACTATATTGTATACCAGCACTTTAGACAGCTTATATATAGCCCTCTCAGCAAATGCAAAATGACAATTACCCCAATTATCATTTTGGGCATTCTAAACATAGCCTGGAGTCAAGTCTTTATTTACCTGACTACAGGCACAATATATTCCCCAGTGAGCTGGATGATCACTATCACACACAGCAATGATTGACATCCTGGTTGGATTTCTCACAGATGTTTACAGATTAAAAACTGTGCAAAAATGATCAGAGCTGTGGGTGTGATTAAGCAGGACACTTATTACAGGATATTTGTGAAATATGGCCCTCACATTAACTTTGACATATACTGCTGTGCAGGAAGCATTAGACATTTTGCATTATTTGTCATTTAAATATTTTTCCTTCTTCAAGAAGAAACAATTCTATGGAACTATTTCGCCATTTGGTTTTAATTTAACTGTTAATACTGATAGGTCTATATTTGTTACAATAAAAGAAACCTTTTAGCTTTACTGACGTGCAAAGAGGAAGAAATGACAAAGAACACCTTACAATGAGTCAATTCAATTTCATAGGGAATTTGATAGTTGGGAATTCTATTGCAAAGTATGTGCAATTGCCCATCCCATCCCAAAGCAGAGCTTTTATTTCGCCATTCAGTGCTATTATTTATGTACTGTAACTTGCGAGAAATATTTTCTGTCCCTTGAACAAATGCATAAATAAACGGAATGTGCAGATTATTTTTCAAAAATAATGAAAGGTTTTCCTATTGGGATAATGTGGGGTGCGGAGAACCATGAGTTCCTACATATCCATTCCAGACTGTACTGAGTTCTATGTGCAGAGTTGCCATCTCAAATTCATATCAGTGCTGCTTGAACGCTTGGAGAGGGGACTGATGCAAAAGAAGAAGAGTATATTACCAGGCATTGCAGTGTTACCTTAACATTTATCCTTCAATAGAGCTCTAGGAAAAGATGTACCTTCTGCAACAGTTTCCTAAAAGGGAGGCTACTTTAGTAACAGCAGCATAAGCATAAGTGTACTGAATCATATGGAAATAGCTGTGTTGGGCAGATCTATGCAAGCTACAAACCCAAGGGAACTTCTGCAAAACAGTTCTGTTATACACAAGGCTGCCAAGCCTGGCCAATGCACTGAACGGGGTAATGCTGTCACCTAGTGTACAGTAACTAAGAGACCGTTGCGCTGTAGTAGAGCATTGTAGATTACCTATAGAGAATATTTCTAGCAGAATACTTACAAAAAGCAGTAAATGTATACTTTCTGTATCTGTCCTTAAAGCGGAGACAACCTCTTGTTGTTATTCTTTGATATGCTTCATTTTTCAGTGTCACTGTGACAAAGAAAACTGGATTGAATGAAGCTAAGCTAAAGACAGGACATGAACCTACAGTAACTGTTTTACACTATAATTGCAAATATCTAGAAAACGTGCTAACTAAGCATTGAAACATATTTATACAAGATGTCATTATGCATGAATGGTGGTCTCTGTAATGAATCTTGTCAGGAAACGATACACACAAAGCAGAATGCCATACAAGATGCAATAGAAATGAGCACAGCTCAAAGAAGACACTGTACAAAAAAGCAATATGCTACCAACATTGCAAGAGCCAGGTAATTAAAAGCTGGCTCTTGATGATAACGTTGGAGTGGGGTTCAATGTGCTGAATTATTAGGGGAAATCTGTTCAATACAACTGGCTGAAGAAAACAGGCAGTATCACATTAAATTCTATAAATAATGTCACTGTAATTACTTAAACCTGTTGCTTGGTTACGTATTATCTATACTGATGCACAAAGATAACTCAACACTCAGGCTTAATGGGTTTAATCAAAGATTGTGAATACACATATCAAACAAAAGCATAGAAAATGTGACCACAAATACAGGTAAAAAAAATCATGATATGCCCTCTGTATAAAAAGCCGAGAAGAAAACATGACTAAGTTAGGACTTAACACACTAAAGCACAGACAGGATCAGCTTCTGGACAGACTGCAGAACGTTTGCCTTCTGTTGGCACTTGCAGGTTAGTCCAACAGATTTTATATTGCACAGGTCAGGAAAAAATCATGGCAAGAACT